TCAGATTCGTAATCAGCAACCCCAGAAACCCACTGGAAACGTGTTTTAACCGTTGACAGTATTTAAAACGTTTAGTATAAACTTTTTAATTTTACTACTTTTTTTTAATTCGATCGCAATATTGGATCCGTCATTTTGAAATTAAAAAAATTGACTTCAGATTCGTAATCGACGACCCCAAAAACTCTCGAGTGCCGGGTTTCGAACAAATCCAATCATTTTTTTAAAAAATGGAACGCTATTTTGGATCCGCCATTTTAATCACGAAAAACTGACTTCAGATCCCTAATTAGCAACCCCAGAAACCCCCTGGTAACAAGTTCCAACCCATGACAATGCGTAAATCGTTCAGTATCAACGTTTTAATTTTACTAGTGTCTTTACGAGAGCATATTTTCGGGAACTAGACCCATTCTAATTGTTCAAGAGAGGTGTGTAATCAAGGGAAAGTTCCCCAATAATACCAGAGTAATTATATGTACAAACCACATTTTTAGCTACATTTTAACATGTCAAGAAAATAAAAAAATTTAGAACATCAGCGTTTTTATAAAAAACCGACCAGCGCGACCTCTAAGAAAACTTTTTTTTTTTCAAAATAAAAAAATACGTGTCTCTTTTTTTATCACAAATAACAAATTCTGATGAAGCGTTTATGAATTTCCAAAAAGAGTGTTTTTATGAACCACTCTAATATACTCATTTAAAATTATAATCATCTTGATAATCAACACATACAAAATGCTTAACGTACACGGACTCTTTTGCAACCAGGTCAAAACTTGCTATTTTAGCCTATGTAATTTACTGAAATAAAAAAGTCTCCAATACTGAGTGAATTTCGTCATCATATACATAGATATATCACAATTTGACAAACGTTTCTTCAGTATTTTTTGTCAAGTACACCTCCCACGCAACGATGTCAAAACTAAAGTACTCTATGCCTAAAATAAGCAACAAAAAATAAATAACATCATATAAATAGTTCATAGGCATTCTACTATTTGGCACTTAACAAATCGGAAAAACTATTACGTATGACATGTTCCATCAAATGGCCCACAGATTATCTGCTAACATCCAAAAAAACGAGTGGCTTACCCGTAGACGACCGTGAATACTTTGTATAAGTATGTGTGTATAAGACTATTTAGCCAGAGATCTGTCATTAGTGGACAACTTAGCTGCCACAGCTACTAAATCAATACTTAAGGCATTTTCTTTTGTACGGAAAAATGTTGCCTTCTCAGTGCCCTCTACGCACAAATACTAAGGAGAGGGCAATGAAAATGCACTATTTTTTTTAGAAAGAAAATGCCACTCGACTTTGGCGAAATATTGCATAAAACTAAAGGCTAGGAAGATATCAGTTTGAGAAAATACTTTTCTGTGCATAAAAGAATACATTAATCATTTAAACACCGCCCAATAAATGTATAATTGTATACACACGTAGCATAAATATATACGTGTATGTATGTATGTACATGTGATACGTCATAAATAGTACTATACATACATACATAAATATTTAATGCAACAAGCTAACGCCCTCGAACATTAACACTAAGCGGTTGAAGTTTTCGTGCATTTACATACATTCGTTGCTTTTGGAGGGGCAAATTCGCTTTTAATCAGAAAATTTATACTTTTGAAGATTGCACAACAATTGTTTAAACAGACTTGTAAAGAAACAAATAAATAAACATTCGCACTTATGTATTTTTTTTATTCTTTTCCGATCTCCAGCGCTTAAACAACAGCGCTCCATACAAATGTATGTATTTATGCGTGTATGTACATTAGGATGGGTCAATTTGTATGAACGATTTTTTCGACTATGCCTTTATATTACTTTGCTGTAGTGTCGTAAAGAAATGCTTAAATTTTGTATAAAAAGGAATTTCTCTTAAAACTTGCATTAGAAGGCGCAACATTGAAAACTTTCACATTTTCTTCGAAACCTATTTTTGCAATTTTCCAAACTCCAAATTGATTTTAGACCCATAGTTTCTTCGGCAATTTTCTTAGAATTAAACGTAGAATCCTTCTATGCTATACGCGCATATTTAGTAAAAAAAAAATCGGTCCGCCCTTATGTGGGTACATATATGAATATTTATGTAAGTATATATTTGATCGCTAATACACCTATGTATGTATTCATGTATGTAGCTCCGTAAAGTCTGCATCTTTAGCTATATATTTAAGTCAGATTTTCTAAGTTTTTTATATGAATTTCTTGAGTGCGCCGCATTCGTTTGGTGTCACAGCACCATAATAGATGTCGCCGTCGTGGCATATTCAGTGCCTATAAATAAATTTATTATAGTATTTCCCCCTCTGTAATGACGCGTAGACGCTTTTTTAATTTAGTGAATAAGATCTTTGTCCGTTTGAGATGAGTTGGTCTTGACGGCGGTGAGGTGGCGCAAGAGGGTTAGAACGCTAGCCGTAAAAGAAGGCCAGCAGACCGTTTAAATAAAAAAAAAATGTATACGCCATCGTATTGTGTATGTATGTGTGTAGGAGTGTACCTTGTAGGTAAAATAAAAAAATAAAAAATTCGTTGATATTTACTTGACGAAAAATTTACTGCCCTCTTAAGGGCAACACAACGGACAGATTAGTCGTGTCTTAGTGGGCCTACATCTACGGAGGCAACCTGATAACCTAACCTAACCTAAGGGCAGTATCACCATTAAACAAATATGTATGTATGTCTAAAGATGCTTCTTGCCAAGCTTTCAGGTCAATTTCTTACTTTCTACCAGGGTTCGTATTTGCACACACATGCTCTGCTCACACACACGCCAGAAACACATTCAACTTGCACTCACTGCTCATACACATGTGTGTGCATAAGTGGAAAACAAACTCTACTCACAGAAAAGTGTGTGCTGTTTGTTATTAAGCACATGCACATGTGTGTGAGCCGATTTTTGTACAAATTTCAGCCCATGCACATGCACATAATATATTCTTAAAAGAATTTGTTTATTAAACGTTATTTTTTGAAAGACAATTCAATAAAAAGTGAGATGTTGTTTGTTTTTTATATGACAGAAAACATTAAAAAATTATTTTAAGATTTGAGTTAGAATTCGAAGTGTATAAGTTTCTCTACGCATAGCACACACATGTGCGTGTGCTTTACATTAATAAAAAGAAAGTACACACATGTGGCCGTGCTTTTTACCAAACGGTACACACATGTGATGTGAGCAAATTTTTAATTTTTTATATGCACAGCACACGTGTGTGAGCTTAAAATGTTAGGATGTGCTGCACATGTGTGTGCAAATACGAACCCTGCTTTCTACTCTATTAATAATGCTTGAAAAAATTTGGATATGATCATCCCATTGACGAAGTCTCGGATGACTGATAAATCTAAATGCACCCTTCAAACCATTTTCAAGATTATTCCGGGCAGGTCGATATTAAAACACCTCGGCCTGAGATGCACGTGAGGTGAAAGGTAAAAGTTTATGGATATCCTGTTAGAGCAGATCTTATTACACCTTAAGGAGTACCTACTGCTTAATTTTCCTGTACAATGAGAAAAATAGGTCCTACTGAAACAAGAAGATTTTTTTAGCTTTAAATCAGGTAAAAAGCAAAAAAGTTCCTTTTTGATTTAATTAAAATAATAATCCCACCAAAAATAGGAAAGCCTTCTTATGAAGGAAAACCATAGAGATATTTTCTAATTTGTAAAATTTTATTAGGTAGCTTTCGCTCCTTGTAGCTATAATTTTCAGGCCGACCACACATTCAACCACATCCTAACCAAAATCCTTTAGTCTGATTAGAAGGTGGTCTTGCACGAGAAAGGAGCCTTTTATGGCACTCAAATCCAGTGAAAGCCGAATAAGTTCATGCCCAAATTACTTTGGTTATAGAGTAAAAAAAATAATAATTATTGTCGTTCAGTCATAGCCCGATTTCCGGCAGGGACTTTATCGTGTTTGTTAGTAGTGAAAAGTTTCTTTTTTTATACCTTCTACGATTCAATCAAGCAAGTAACCGCTAATACAAAAATCTATTTTTTAACAATTCTAATCTTTACTCACGCGTAGCTTCTAAATTTATGGCCAATTATTTCCATAAATTAAACCTTTAGCTTTCGATAAAGTAGCTGAAAACATCAACCATACTATGACTGACTGAAGTGAGTATGGTTACCAGTGGAGTATATTACCGATTACCGGTTAATCGTTTGCCTTCTGCAGCACAATTGAAATCATATCTTTATAATTAGACGCCATTTAGAACTTAATAAATTATGTACAAATGAGTGTTTGGTTGTATTTTTTTCTCAATGGCCTATATGTGTAAGTACACACATACATACATAGTATTTAAAAGAAATATAAAGATCTCAATTGGCGCTAAATTATTTTATATGCTTGTGAATGTAGAGTGCCAATGATTGCGTACATTTGTATTTTATATATTTCAATGTAAATGGCTACATTTATAAATCGACAGCGGGCATGTGTACGTTTGTTACCACGTCATAATATTTATGCGAATATCTAGTATATGACAAAGGTGCGAAGAACACGTTTATAATTTTTTTTTTATTATTATCATGTATGCGGTTGGCACACCGGCCGGATTTTTTGTGCAAAATATTATTTGGGAAGGAGGTGTTCATGGTCTCATCTTCCTCTGTATAAGTTCGATATTTTTTCAATACATATACATTTGTTTTAGGTCCAAATGTGGGCTTAATATATCGTACATTTATTCGAGAACAGAATTCTCAACTTTTATTCAACTTACTATTCTATTGAGTTTTGTACGTACTAAAACGTTTCCGCATTTTATAGTTGCCTACACATAGTATAAAAGCTTTTGCTTCCACGAAGAAAGAAAAAAACTCCAAACCCTTATATTTTGATGTGTATTGAATATCTTTATCTATGTATGTAAGTATGTACACATTTATATTCAAGAACTCAGCATTAATTTCAAAATAAATAACCCACCTGAAAAAATAGGCAGAAACACACCCACTGGTAGTATTTGTAGTGCTTTTTGTTGTGATCATCACCATCCGAATTGGCTATACCCGGATAGGGTACAGATATGCCCTGCTTCTTACCGAAATGATCACGTAACGTATAAGTCGAATGAATCCAACAATATGTATTGAGTACGTCTTCTGGAATATCTTTGGTATGAACACAATCGATAGGGTTGCCAACATATTGTCTTGTTGTTATAATCAAAGAGAAGGACATCAAAATCATCACAGTAATTGAGTAGTGTAGACGGAATACTGGCGAATCGGTTTTAACGTGACTGACCTTTACAAGGTTTTTCAATCCACGAAATATATCTAACATTTTTCGCTAAACGGCAACGCAACGCGAAATAAATGATTAAAATTGTGGATTTGCTGTGGATCTCCAAGTGTTCATGTGTATGCGTGTGTGTGCGTATCTAGTAGTTTTTTTTTTATTTTATTTTAAATTTCACTTGACTTTTGTGCATTTCTTTTATTTTTGTGTAAGTATGAAAGTTCTTTCGTTGAATTGTTTCGTTGCGAACTGGAGGCAGAGGAGGCAACAAACCAATTTGTGGTTATCGTCTCGTTGTGCGGCAGTTCTTTCTCTTTCTCGCTGGTCCCATAGTTTTGTTGTGACGTATGCAGAAATCATGTGGATTTTATTATATTTTGCAGATCCCCTCCTGCATTTTTTTATTATTATCGTATAATTTTTTGTTTTATTCACTTCAAAATTCAAGACAGCGGCGTAAAAGCACTTGAAATTTTTATGGTTTTGTGTAAATGAATCGTGCTTGTTCGTGAGTTTTAAAAAATGTTGCATTTTAAATGTTAAAACTTGTTCGTACATTCGCTATATTAATATGTACGTATATGTATGTAGGTATGTAAGTGGCAGCTGTAACACTTCACATTATTATTTCGTTTTCGACTTGGAAAAGTTTCATAAAATAAGGCACACTAAAATTGGCCGACTCGGTGCTGCTAAAGATAGAATATGGGGCACTTATGATTTCATATTTCGAAGCTCTTATTTTTTTTTTCGTTTTATTACTTGAGTTAGATTTGCATGTATCCCGAAACATTGAGTTAATTAAAAGTTTAAAAAATATACTATGCGAGTTTGTAATAAAATATGATAAGTTAAAAAGACAATTTTTAATGAATCATCGCTAATAACCTAAGAAAAAGCTGAGAATTGTACTGATGAGGCCAAAGTAAACGTCTGTCTTAGGCAAAAGCTAATGGTCCCTACATAAACGCACCGTAAACAAAAATGGCGCCAGAATTTCGTTGTACATAGGGTTTGGGAAATGTCACGTAAGAAAAGCTACCAATGAAAAGAACAAAACAACCCCAGAAAGTAACCCTTTATTTTTAAGATTCGAGAGAATAAACCTTTAATGGCGGCCACCTTTTTATCCGCTTAATTGAAATCTACATGAGAAGGATAGCTGCCATTCTAAGACATGCACCGAATAGATGCAAGTCTTTCGTCGGCTTCCAGCATATGAAGATGACTTAGGCTGTCTACGGAGGTAAACCAGAGTGATCACATTGCGATAATGGAGCGCACACTTCCAGTGTTTTAGAGAAAAAGCATTTATCATCAAAGATTATCAAATATCTTCTTGCAACCAAGAGCTGCCTTCACATTCAAAAGGTAAGAAACTCGCTTCGAGATTCAGTTTTTAACCTCCGAGATCCCCTTTCAGAGAAAAACATTGACATCTACCATATCCTATCCTTAAGGTAATGGGCAAGGAAATTCGCCAGCCTATAACATTTTTCATACCTTCTCCTTCCTTGGCAATGGTACTATATATTTACATGGAAAATTTCATTTAAATCGGATCTCAAATACTATTTTTTTCACAGCTTTTATGGGGATCTACCTGTCTATGAAAGATAAACACAAGGCTAACAGATTATAGCAGCTGGAACATGTTCCAATAGTTTATCCAGGGTTGAATGAACGCTGAAATCGCTCCTTGGCACACGTTGATAGTTACTTTATAAACTCTGCAAGGACTGGGGACTTGAAAATAAGATTCATACAACACCGACATTAAGAGCCCTTTCAACACTATGGGCCATTTTTCTTCTCCTTATTGTTTGGCGCTGTAATCGCCTAATCGATTTTGGTAGAAGTGGAGAAGAACTTGGCATTTAATATCGGCGTCAACTGGCACAAATTGTACGCCGCTATGGAGAGAAAAAACGGGCCACTCCATATTCGAGCAATGGGACAACGATATCTGGAATTGAACTGGAAGTTTGACTTTCCTGCCGTTGAAAGAGAAAAATTCATGCTGACTTAAAAAGTTTTTATCTCAGCTTGTCGGGTCAGAATAGCCTGAACTTTTGCATTAAAGCAAGTATTCTTCATGTCTTTTTTAATATAACAGCTATGTTAAAGAGGTCGTTTTACAAAAAAAAATCCTTAAAAAGGTGAAAAAAATCAACAATGAAGTTGAACATTTAGAATTTTTCTCTGCTCAACTGCTCGTTTAACTGATGGATATGTGAAACTAGAAGCTCTATGAGTATATAATTGAAATCGAATGCCTCGTGTAAAAATTATTTATTTTGGCCTAAATACTGAGCCTGAATTAGGTCGGCCAAAATCTAAACTTAATTGGGAGTTTGAAATTTCCTCGGACTTGGCATATACGCCATTTTTTGAAACTTTTGGTTTTAAAAAATACATCCGCTATGTTACCATTACGAAATTTCGTCAACTTGCTATAGTCTCTGAGGAACACCAGGGCAAAGTTTATTTTTCAACCTGCGTGCAAATGTAAATATTTACAAGTTTTGTTGATTTTTGTTTTCATTTTTGAAGGAAACCAAACACCCAATTCACACACATTTCTAGCACTACCGAGTGGTATTGTGCAGATTACACAGTGTTACAAGGGCAAATTTGTATGTAAATACCCATACATACATATGTATGAACACATGCTCACAGTTTTTTGTTCCTGCCATTGTGAAATTTTAAGCAAATAAATGAACTAATTTATTGCTGATAGCTGGTATATAGTTTGCTACAAAAAGTGATATATGGAGTTTCCTTTCCTATAATTTTTTTTTTTTTGCAATGCAAGAAATTTTTTGTTCTTTCCAAAAACGGAAATTTTTTTACGAAAAAAAAGTTACGTATCCCATTGTTACCATAAATACGTATATAATTTTCTTAATAAAAAAACTAAAATGGCTCAAAGACAAAAATATACTTTTGTTAGAATTGTAATAACAAGCCATGAACGAATATGAATATCAGTGAAAATTTGCCCACGGCATATTTTTTTCCTGAGTGTCTATTTTAAACATATTTATGTATGTTTTCAAAAAATACTTAACCAGGTATCTACCATACACTGCTTTTGCCTGCGTATAAGTGTAATACGAGTATAGTCAATTGATTAATTTATTTTTATAAATAAGTAAATAAGAAGTCTATAAATTCAGCGACCCCAACTGGAATAATTTTTGGAACAGCACTAAACCACGCAATCTACGTCATGATAAGCTTATAAAAAACAACACAAATTTCAATTAGTATGTTTACATTAACTCTTGCGTAATCAGCGGTCATAAAACTTGTGTGGAAAGATCTCACGGATTCGCGTGTTCCCCATGTACACTGAATCAAAATACTAACATACATGTACCTACATTAGACTGTTCCAAGTATATATTGGAAAAATAAAAAAAAAATGTTTTTGCAAATATTGTATTTATTACAAGGCCGCAAAACCATATTTTTCTAGTAAAACAATTTTTGTGTGTCCTGAAATGTTGCAATTGTAGAGCATTTTTTAAGTGGTCTGACAGGGCGTTTAATGAACATTAAATTATTAAATTCAACTTTTATAACAAATTCTTTTCCTCCTTTTAAAAAAATTGCTTTCATGTTATTAAATAAATAGCGTTTAACCTATATTCTCGGGTTGATATAATGGTTGTAATTTCGTGTGACATCGCACGTTTAATGATGTAGAGATGTGTCCTGTCAGATCAATGAAAAAACTATCTACAATTGCAAGTTTTCAGGAAATACACAAATTTTGTATACGAGAAGACTACCTTTGTAATTAACAACAATTCGGAGATCAGCAAAAATTACTTTAGGCAACAAAATACCTCCGTTGAAAAATACCCTTTGAATTTATTATCTTTAATATCCTCATATATATTGACAGGATTTAAATTAAACTAAGATTCTTCTAAATGCATTCAAAATTAAAAATCTTGAAGCATAGTATTTCTAAAGGAAATTTTTCACAT